CGTATATATATATATATATATATATATATATATCGGTAGCTCCGGTTCACTCTGTAATCAAGTTCTCAAACGGCCCAAGTCGAATTCTCAATTTCATCACTGAAGACAATCAGTAGGTAAATATTGCAGATCATTCGCGTAGATCTCTGCGTGGCTAGAGCTCAATTCTGGTGCACAAGCGCAACGCAGACAGTCTCTCTCTCCGATCTGTGCACACACGTGTGCATCTGACCGCAACACGGCAGTGGGATGTTCTGGGGACAGCTCAGTGAACTCGGTTGACTGCCAATCAATGCTGGACTGGGGGTGCACACATGCTCACGTGCATGAATTCAAATACAGATTCCAGCCAACTGTGTGATATTAGAGATCATATGACACTGTAGTTGCTCTTTTTTAAATAAGATTACCCAACAGCAGATCCAACTGAATGAACTGTCCAATGAGCTGGGTTTGTTGATTGAAGTACGAAGTAGGTATTTGTAACAAAGCGAATAAACTGTTGATTGGACTGTGATATTAGACCAGTTCGAATGGGACAAATTTCGCCGCAGCGAGTGAATTTTGGTGGGGTCTGACAGTTTTTCGTTAGGATGTTTTAGGCTTCGATGGTTGATCGAATACCCACAAACAAGAATGATCGAACACACAACGGCAACTGACCTATGTCGATTGGGTAAGAAATGCGAGCCGCGATAAGATGAGCAAAGAAAGCGCTAACCATGACCGAGCGTACGTGTGAACATGACCCGTTGTACTGCTTGTTCCGTCTTACGTCCTGACTGAATCGGTGCCCAAAATTCCACTGTGACCATGGTCGCTTCGAGATCGACCAGTTATTGTATTCCTAATACAAATTTTCGAACATTGTAAGATACACTTGCTCTCAAATACAAAGCAAGAAATAGCGGTTTCCAACGAACAGCAAAACTAAATCCAAATCTAATTGCCTACGAATGTGGTCATTATCAAGTTCAGAGTGAATTAGTTCCTCCAACGCACGTGCGTAATAAGAATCAATTTTTGTGTAACAGCGGAACAAAGAACACTGAACTGCAGTCAAATCTCATTCCGTCAACTGAACAAATCACTCATTTAATTGGTTGGTTTTTGTACTTCGAAGGTTGCCGTCCTCGTCGCAACAAGACCTCTTATCCTGTTGTCGGGACATCTTAAATTTACCTCTCCCGATGTTAGTTTCAAAAAAGTATATAAGCGACAATTCCAATCAAGCCGGCTGATTTCCCGTCATAACTATATTCCGTTCGGCTAACGGAGCATCTGCTATCAATATACGATCGACTTTTTTATACCCACCCTAGTGTGATGAACAGTAGATGAGGGTTGCTCCATAGTCACGAAGACCTACTGTTCGGTGATGGAAACCGGTAACCTTAATCTCCGGGACTTGGAGTGGAGAACCACATAAGGCCCCTCTAGGTTAGGGGTATTATTGAACAGGACGACAGCAAAGCTCCCTATCACCAAAGTTGGGAGACGGTGGTGCGGCTCGAAGCTCGGACTATAGGGTCCAAAGAACGCAGTTGACAGCAATTAAACCGTCGCGCCACCTTACCTTGTCGTAAAGAAGTCGATCGTTTGTGTGTAGGTTGTACAAATAAGAAATAATTCTGGTGCATCAGGAATAGCAACGGATGCGTAGCCCAATTAAACCCGAGAGAAAACAAAGGAAAACTCGACACACAGACCATAGCTTCTATAAGGAAAATAGACGCAATGGAACACGTTAACCGAAGCGTTCATCATTAAGCAGCCAAATGGAGTGTGCATGTAGGTATCTGTTGGTATGCATATTTTTGTCCGTGTGACATGCTGATAGTCCGTCCGATATCACCGAGGCTAACAACGACACAACAATCCTACGTTTGCTTTTGTTTTGTTGTCCTCTCCCATCTCCATCGGGTGGTCAAAAGGACAAAACCAGGTACAAATGAGAACAAACACAGTAAGATTGACGGGAGTATCACACTTGTAAAAGCAGCGCCACACCGCCCAAAATCCATTTGGCTGGTTTCTCCTTTGTGCGCAAATGGAACGTCCACACGAATGTGGGTCCACGAATCTTGGTCTTATACACCGGACACGCATACATTGCAGCCACACGTCCTTCTTGACGATCGGACGGTACAGCTCGGAGCAAGATTACTGGCATTGGTGGAGCCAATTCTTTAATTCGTGAATCCACAATAGACCCGGCGGCGGTATCCCAGCGCGCACCTTCCATGAACAGCCCGTGTACGTAGGCACCTTCTCTGGGTGCTGAACCCATTTCTTCACGCGTTTTCTTAGTCACTTCGACACTGATACAAATCTTGTCCAAAGGCCACTCAATCTTTCGAGCAGTCTGTTGCATTACAGCCGTGAGGAACGACTGAGGGTTGAACAGCCCACCAAGCCATACTGAACCAGGTAGACCCAAATCTTGTGACCAAACGTCCAGTTCTTTTACTCTGTTAAGCAAATCAGCAAACCAGAGACCAAGTGGATACAGACTTGGATATGCGTACCTTTCCCATGATGCAGGAACCTGTACGTTAGGATGGAAAGTAAACAGAAGTGAGCATATGGCTTCAAAATAATATGACATGGAAGAAAAGGAAAAACTAGAAATGGTATCAATAAATGAATATATTTTATGCATTGTCTCATGATATATATGGTATTTTTCCTGATTTGACGGTTAACGGATCAACGTTTTACTCAGTTTATGAGCTGTGTCATTTTAAGGCACAGGGCGTCCTTCGACAAGAAATTCTCTTGCAAATAACCATATCCCATCAACCTTAAGCAGAATCCCAAAGGAGCTGCAAAACTCACCTGGTCCAAGAAAAAGGCATTTATCAATGCCTCCATTGCAGCGGACACAGTAAGCTCACCGCGTAATCCGAGACGGAGCTCTTTTAGCGATCGGCGCATTTCCTCGAGCAAAATATTCATGCGTTCACACTCCTGCAACACCACAACCGCATACGGACTGCGTTCTTCAGGTGCTTGACGAGCATAGAGCTCGGCCATTGGGAATCCATCTGGCATTCGATCGAGTAGATCTTCCAACAATGTGGTTAATGTTTCTTCTCGACTGGGCGCATCGCCTACCTCCGCACCAGAGTCTCGAGGCTGCAGTTCGAGTACAACACGGAATATTCGTTCGGCTGCTTTTGTCAAAAATTCGATTTCCGCATTCGGATGTAATCCGTACAGATGAGGAGTTTCAGGAGGCAAATTTTTATCAATATAGTCATGATATCCCACATAGTCAGAGTTGGGTGGAACCAAGAATCCCGGAGCGAGATAAAGATCACCGTCAACCTAGATTAATTGAGTGATGCGAGTAATCTTATCGATCGGGTAGACAAATAAATAACAATATTCAATCGAAAAATTAATGAAATTTTGAAATACTAAAGATCACTTGATAAATTTTCAAGACATATTTTATAGGCACCATTGTGCTAAACTTAAATTATTCCTTTTCAAACAAATAAAGTCATAATATTGGAATTAGTTTGGAACGAATGATATGGCTAAACAAAATATGATGATCTTGATATTAACCAACAAAATAATATCGTCAGAAGAAATTATTTTAACGAGTTCCTTTTCATACACGATCTGATTGATCTTATCACACTTATTGGGAAGACTCCATAAAAATTAGATCAAATCGGTTGTATTTCACTCTGACAAGTAATGCTGATATTCAGACACCTTATTTAAGTAAAACCAGAGAAATGAGAAGGTTGAAAAACCAAGCAATAACTTGACAATTTGAATAAAGAGCATGTGTTATCTCAAACTTTGATATCACATTTAGAATTCAGTTTTGAGGGAAAGCAATATATGAAACACGAAAGATGCAGCTCCTCCTTCCCGTTTGAGGAGAATTTCATCATTATCAGTTTTTCAGCTTATAAGTGCCTGTGTAATGTATCCCTAATACGATTCTAACTACGGTGTTCACCCCAGAGGAATGGTTGAATCAGTTTCAGTTTCAGTTTCTACAACCATTAACCATGCACTTTCATGCGCCAGTTTTGGTTGCTGTATTTTGGTCGCCCATTTGGATGCAGAATAGGAGAAAGACAGGAGGTTTGAAAGTAGAGTCGAACAAAAAATAGAGAAGTTCAATGGTTTAGGGTTGCAAAGAAATTGAGAAGATGAACGAACTCCACTGTTTACGACACTCAGCCATATTGCTTAGTGTCTCTAACCATCGGGTACGATCATCCCGAGGTCCCCAGCGGAGGAGAGTAACGGGACCTATGTGACCCAGTTCCCTGCTCAGGGTTTTCATACCCTAGTGCCAGGTCTTAGTTTGTCCACCCTTGGCTTTTTTACACCCACTACCTGCCTCGGCAAACATCGCGAGCC